TTATTTTTAATTTATGCAGAGTCAGTTAGACAAGATCTATTTGCAGTGAATTCATGGCAACTATCAATGATTACATTACTGAAAAAATATGTATTGCATCTACTTCAGTTTTCCTAGTATTCTGCTGAGGAATTAGTCATGTAGACTTCAGTTATCCTTTTAGCTACTGCCACACTCATTTTTCTTTCCAAGCTCTTTGGAACTCAAGAGTGTTCTAGGATTTACTAAGAATCAACAGCACGAGTCTGAAACATTTATTGGCCATCTCCCATTCCTTTATATATTATGTGTGTCACCTACATAAATGCATTTAAACTTGTAACTAGACAACACAAAGGTGTCAAAGTCTGCAAAGTGAATGACAAAAAGCTGTAGAAAGCGCTGAATGTCTTTTGCACAGTTTTGAGAAGTATAAAGGGCAGTAGCAGTAAGGGAAATAAAAATCAAACATGCCTAATTTGCTACAAATCATGACATCCAGATATCATTATAAAAATTGTGGTAACCAGCCTAAACCATTACATTTGAGGTTTAGGACCGCAAGTTCAAAGCAGCCAGCAATAACCCTATGAAATGTCATGTCTGAAGAAAAACTCTATTATGGTTTGAAGAAGCCTGGAGAAGAGGAGGCTCAGGGGAGACCTCATTGCCCTCTATAACTTCCTGAAGGGAGGTTGTAGTGAGCTGGGGGTTGGCCTCTTCTCTCGTGTCATTAGCAATAGGACCAGAGAGAATGGTTTCAAGCTACGGTAGGGGAGATTCAGGCTGGACATTAGGAAGTATTACTTTTCAGAAAGGGTGGTCAGGCACTGGAATGGATGCCCAGGGAGGTGGTGGAGTCACCGAGCCTGGGGGTGTTCAAGGAAAGACTGGATGTTGTGTTGAGGGACATGGTTTAGTGGGAGCTGTTGGGAATAGGTGAACGGTTGGACTGGGTGATCTTTTAGGTCTTTTCCAACCTTGGTGATTCTATGATTCTAAGATGACAGAAAATATTTTGAATGAGATATAACAGCCTGCATCTGAGCAATCTCACAAAATCTGCTAGTTTCAAGGAAACCACTGTTTCTTTCCAATTGGGAAAAACTTGGAATTTTGGTAATGTTGCTTTAATATACCTATAAGAGAAGGCAATCATATTAGCCAGTAATAAAAAAAAAAAAAAAAAAAAAAAAAGCTTTCATACAGGAAAAAATAATGGTCACAAATCACAAAGACAAAGATATCTCTCACTGATATTTACTCTTTGTTAAATCAGAATCCCATAAACCAAAGGATGCCTCAAATTTTGCAGTATTTTGTTCAATCCACTATGTTTAGGGAGGAAGAGAAAGGAAAGAAAGAGTTATTAACATAATTTGCACGTTACATAATAAGCTTTCCATATGTTCTTTGATCAAATTAATTTTGGTTTTGAGAAATTAAAATGCCACTGATTTTTTTTTCTGGCAAAGAAATCCTTCAGGCAACATTCCAAAGGTATGGAACTGTTAAACATTTCAGACAGCCATCCTATAACTAACCACACAAGCTCTACCTGCATTTTAGCAGAACAAGAGTAAGACTGAGCAGCTATATTCTAAAAATAATAAAACAATAATTGAAAATATTAACACTTTATGATTTTTATTCACTATCATGGTAATTGTTCTCGTGACAGCAAATCTTACCTCTTCTACTTCTTCTTCTAGAAAAAAAAAAAAAAAACCCACTACCATCCCCTCAATACTTGGTTCAACAAAAGTATTCATGAACTACAGTCTGCACCAATTTTTTTTCACTACTAAAAAATTCAAAAGATGAATTCACTGAATGTAGAAAACATTTTTTTTTTTATATTTATGCAAATAAGTCTGGTGACTGGACACTATTTCATGTTATAACACATATAATAAATAACTTGAGTTTATGATTGCCTATAAAAACCTCTATTTTTTTCAACTCACCTTTTGCTTCTCTTTCTTGTTGCAGGACACTGCTGTATTACTCAAGAAATACTCAACAATTTATTCATCATCAGTTTGTTTTCCTATTAACCTATTCACAATATTTGGTAGGAAAGGTCTAGTTAAGCAAGTCTTTCCTTCTTAGAGTAATGCAAAACCGCTTGGAAAATTAAGAAGCATTTTTTATAGCTTAAAACATAAAGTATTTCAGAACAGTTATTCAACATTCGGCAAAAGCCTGCCATGAGCAATACATTAAAAGTTCCTTCACTGGCAAGAACAAAATGAAACCATCTAACTACTTTTGGTCTTTTTATCTTTCACACACAAAAAACGATACCTATATAATACTGACAAGTCTAAAGAGCTTAATCACTTGTAGTTTGAATTAAGAATGTAATACCATACTATATGAGTACTGGACAAATAACAGATTTCAATGGCATCAATGTGTTTAGCTTGTTTCTGCAATTTTCTTTCATTTTCTGATGTAACTATTTTAGGAGTATTCCAAACATAAGTGAAAAAAACACATTTTTAACATTTGAACCAAGTGCAGACTTGATGCATTAGAAAGATTATCTTCAACTTGAAATAGTTAAGGAGGAGAGAGACTGTTTTGAATAATGAAAAACTACTTGGAAAAAGAAGAAAAAAGAAAAAAGAAAAAAAAGATGTTTTTCTTTAATGGAAATCACAGAACAAGAAAATGGTAGGCACAACCTCATATAAACTGCCACAATGCCAGAAGAGGTGGAGTAGGAGAACTGACAAGAAAAAACATTCTCCATTAGGACAATAAATCTAAGTAATTCCTTAATACATGTAGGTCGCTTTAAAAGTAATGCCTCCTATCTATTTCTATGGAAAATACAACAATGAGCACAGTAATACTGTTTGATAGAACAAATTCTTAGCCACAAAACACTACTTATCTACACAGTCACCACTAGCTATTTATTTCCACTAGTAGCGGACAACAACCTGTATGCAGCATTCAAAAAAATCTGCAGTGGTGGAGGCGCCCCACTATTTCACAGGAGCTATGATAGTGCTGTTGCTAGGAAAATGTTGCCCACACAGTCAAACTTTCATCAGCCCAAACAGATGGAAGTCAGATGGTGCCAAATCTGGACTATACAGTGGGTGTGATAGGACAGTGCACACAAGGATGACAACGTGCTCCGTGGTCTTCCATGGTATTGGGCCTGGCGTTACAGTGTTGGAAGAGAAAGGTTGTATTCTTCTTTGGCCTGACTGTGGAAGTTTATGCCGTTAGCTTGTCACAGTGTCACAATGTAGCAATCAGAGTTGATAGTTCATTTGAAATCTAGAAAATATAGAACGATTGCCCCTTTCCTATCTCAAAAGATTGTGTGTATCAGTTCACCTACTGAGGGCTGCATCTCAAACATTTTCTTCAATGAGTAATTCATATGTTGCCACAGCACGGACTGTCATTTTGACTCTGGCTTGTAGTGGTGACACCATGTGTCATCGTTCGTAATGATGCAATCCAGGAAATCACCATCTTCAGCTTCCCATTGGTTCAAACTTGAATAGTTTTTCTGCTATTCCTTTGTGAGCATTCATGGGACCTACCTGATGCAAACTTTGCAATAATCCAACACTGCCACCATTGTTTCCCACGCACTGAAGCCAATATTCAACTCCATACATAGTTTTCCGTAGTTGTAATCCCCTGATATATGTGGGTGAACTGATCAAGATGCTCTTCACAGTATGACAGTTGTGCATGGCTGTCTAAAATGTGGCTTGTCTTTCACAATGCTGTCGCCACTGTTGAACCGCACCACCCACTGTCTCACTGCGTTCACATCCACTGTTTGGTCTCCATGAACATTCAGCAAGCATCAACACATGTTGCTGAGTGCAATGTTTTCCAGCTGAAGGAATTCAATTCCATATCTTTGCTCCATACACAATTCCATGTCAGACAGTATTTCACTGTCAGACTGCTGCTCTGCTGTCCATTAAAATGTAATGGAATATTGGTGGGAAGGTTCAACCTCTACTGCCACACTATCAACATTCACCTCTGACATTATGGACCAACAGAATAAAATAGGAGGCATTACTTTCGGAACAATCCTTGCACAATAACTTCCTATAAACTCAGCAAACTTACTTTGTATCTAATTCCCTGATTGATCTGATCACTTTTTTTTTTTTTTTTTAAGTGACAGCTATTAATTTGCAAACATCTACAAGCAGACTGTTTAATTATTTTGCCTAAATTCAGAATTAGCAATCCATACAGATGCTATCTCACAATTCAAGTAGTGAAGACAAGATCTGTATTTTATCTAAGAAGCAAACTTTTGTTCAAATATTCAAAGAAAATTATTTTTAAAACACTCCTGAGAAACAGATCTACTTCATTAGGAATAACATTACACCTTTCCATTTTGCTTACCATTTAATCTCCTCACAACTTTTGTTCCCACAGCAACTGACTTTCTTCATTACAATCTTTTTCTACTCAACTTATTTTTGTAATAAAGCATGAAAATGGAAACATAATAGGAAAAATGGGCTCAATTTGTAGTAAAAGACAACCTTGCTCTTTGGCAGGAAAAATGTAAGAGAAGAGAAAAGTAAAAAAAAAATTAAAAAGTGAGGTGAAAAGAAGAGATTTCTAAACTATCTGGAAAAGATTTATTTATTTATTTATTTATTTATTTTCTTCAGACTTCAGTAAGCTCCACAGCAGTTTGAGAAATACTGGACCAATTCCAAATATGGTCAAGAAAATCTAAGTATTACCTTTCTAAAATTTTACTGGTTTTTTTTTTTTTTTTTTTTTTTTTGTGTGTGTGTGTGTGTGTGTGTGTGTGTGTGTATTTGGTTTTATGTTTTTATAATTTAAACGTTAATTTAAAATTTGGAATTTAAACATCTTTTTTATTACCTTAGGAAATATTAGTTCCTTCCAATTTCACTTAAAATTAATTTCAATTTCTGTAAGTTCACTTTCTGCTTATGAAGAGTAGCAAAACAATGTACATTTAGATATTGTAAAGGCTGATTTACCTTGTCACCTTCAGAGAAAGTTATTCCATCAACGGCCCTTTTCCAAGTAATCTCTGGAATAGGTTCTCCTTCTGCTTCACAGATGAGGGTGGCTTTCCCATTCTCAAATGTGGTTTCATTTTTAAGTTGTATTATTTGAGGCTGTACTGTTAAAATACAAATTATATTATTCACCTTGCATAAAGAATGTAATTTTTTTTTTTTTTTTTTTAATTTAAAAAAGTGCATTTATATTCATTTACTTCAGTTTACCTACAGGTTTAACATGACCATCTATAAGAGCAATCAGCTTTTCTGATTTCAAGTTGCAGAACAACTATTTCTCTGTGTTTGACAACCTGAACTCTCGACTAAGAATGGCTGCAAGACCCTGGGCTGCCTACTCCCTTGCTTCAGTTCAATGGGATAAGCCCTTATCAACAAGGCCCTTGCTCTGGCGGCCCTGTCACTGTGCTTTTCTCCTGGCTTCTTGTCTCTTAGGGAACAGGACATTTCAGGAATGAAACAAAGACTCAATGTCTCCATGGCAATTCTGAACACGAGTAGGTAGGGCTCTTTACTGGTAGGGCAATGTAAGATACAAAGAAGTACTTGGATCTTTCAAAGCCCTTCTCAGCAACAATTAAAACATCAGTACATTATCAACACTATTCTCATCACAAATCCAAAATACAGCAACGTATGAGCCTCTGTGAAGGAAATTAACTCTATCCCTGCTGAAATAAAGACAATACTGTTTACGCTGAGTCTTTAGAAATACCTAACTGCCTTACACAAACTGAGTTTAACAGTATCTCCTGATAGCAAACATACTGTACTATTAACACTATTAAGAATTGAAAAGTCCTGACACAATATTCTTTATGTATATGTATTTATATATATCTTTAGCTACTCTGTAAATTGGTGAAAAAATACATTTTTTAAAAGTCCAGAAACTGTTCATATTCTTCAGATCATTCCAGTTTACAGATACTGGTGCAGATACTGGTACAGCTCTCAAGCTATATAGTGTCTTGACAGGCTATTTACATTGCAATGCTACTTCCATTTAAATAGGAACACTTCTTAGAGGACTTGTCTGTACAATATCATAAAAGAACTCAGCTGCAGAACTATGCATAGAATATTACTCTCTTCCATTGCATTCAAGTATCTTCATAAAAAAAAATGTGTTGGCACTATATATTCAGTCATATTTAACCATTAACAAGCTTCTCCAAATATTTGCAAATTGAATGAGACACACATCTCATTGGAAAACCTAATATGTAACCCTGCAATAGAAATATGATTCAATATGTTTACGTTCAAAAGCAGTGAGCTAGGTTTCTATGAGTAAATTTAATAGAATATTTTCCATGCAATTATTTTGTTTTTGATGAAATGCTGCTAGATTATAGCCTACATGAAGCACAAAATAAACAGTGAGTGAATGTATCTTCTAATGGATTTTTAGAAGTACATACTATGCAGAAAAGTAATCATGTTACGTTCATAGATCAGAAGGGGAAAGAGAGTCATTCCAGTTAGAAGGGAAACTAGGATGTCATCTTTTCCAACTCCTTGCTCAAAACCGATTCAGCAAACTCTGCTCAGATCCGACTGATCACAGATTTGTTGAGGATTATCTTAAAAAAAATTCCAAGAATAGACTACACGATCTTTCTCACCAGCCTGATGCTGCAGTCCTATTCCATGAGGACATCCAGATCAGATTGATCACAGATTTGTTGAGGATTATCTTAAAAATTGTCCTCACAGTATAGATTTTTTTTTTTCCTTATATCTGGTATCATTTTTCTTTTTTTTTTTTTTTTTACCACTATTGAAATTTATTATTAGTGTCTCACAGATACTGCATTTTGTATCACCAAGAAAAATGATAAAACCAGGTTCAAATTTGCTATATCCAGATAGATCATCTTCTTTCATTTCTACCACATCATTCTTGATCTCACTTCTCACTCCTTATCTCCATAGCCATTCAGTTGCTTGTATATAGTCTGTTCATCCTTGGCTATTACAAAAAATCTACTTTATGTTAACTGTATAGAGATGAAAAACAAGTAATATTTTCCCTAGCAAAGTAGTGCTCTAATATCCTTCATTAAGATAAATCTAACGTGAGAGACTCCCTGCACGAGAAGAAAATATCCTGCGAGAGCAGGGTCTCTATAAATATCAGTTGGATCCATCTTTATTTAGTACATAACAAGGCAGTAAGCAAAGCATTAAGGTAGGATAGCAATTCAGTTGAGAAAAGCTGTAACTGCTCTCAGTGGTATAACTAAGGATGCTACTTTGAAGAAATAAGTAAAGAAGAATTTGAGATAATAGACAACATCATCATAATTATAGTATTAGCTCTCACTTCTAGGATCATTCCAATGTCAATGAAACATTCTATGATACTAAGCTCAGATACTCTATTTCTATAGCCATGCCTCCTGGCTATAGTATAAACAATTCTTTCTTTCTTTTGATATATTATCATTCTTGAAAACAAGGAAAAATGTATGGCAGATACATCATCCAAATAAAAGCATCACACATAGTATTTTACGAAAGAAATTTGCAAAATTTGGCATTATCTTCATCAGAACAATTGTTGCCCCACATACACATGACAATTTCATTTTCTCAGGATGATGCATCTTCTTCCAAAGTATATAATTTAAAGTATTTATATTTTTATCTCTCTGATTTATATTCTAAATTTCTTTAAAGTCTTCTTCAAATAGATTATTAGAAGGCAAAGTTTTAACTTGACATTTTAGACATGAAGGCTGACATTTAAAGGAACAAGCACTGATTAATCATCAAATGCATCTAGCTGACAGTTATTACTAGGAAGAAGCGCTGAAAACAGGAAAAGATATTATTTAATTGCTCAATTTTAATAGGTCACAAGCTATTGACTAATAGTTTGACAGCTTTTAAATTACATTTTGGGCATTAGAAAATATTAAAATACTTTTGCATAGAAATAAAAAAAACATTTATTCAAGAAAGCAAATACTATGACTGACAGAAATACTGAAATGGATTTATTTTTTTCAGTTCTTAAACTGTTCTTTTTAAACTGACATGATCATTTTCAAACTGAAATGGTATTTACTTTCAGTATTCTAGCAAAAAAGAAACAGATGAAAATAAAGGGTCTTGGACTGTCAGTCCAGAAGACCTCCCGGCCTTTGCTACTTTCTTTGGTCAAAATTATGCTTCAATTGAAGCATTTGTGTTATAATCATGGAATCACAACATATGCTGAGTTGGAAGGGATGCACAAGGACAATCAAGTTGTACTCCTGGCTACACATCGTACTACCTACAAATCAAACAATATCGCTGAGAGCATAGTCTAAATGTCCTCGAACTCTGACAGGCTTGGTGATGACAACAACACTGCCATGAAGAGTCTGTCCCAGTACCTAACCACCATCTCAGTGAAGAATTTTTTCCTATTATCCAATCTGATAATAATGTACTTAAAAAATTCTTAACCAAATGATCTGACCGAAATGAAAGCAGGTTTGAGCACTTCAGAAAGGAATTACGTTTGAGAAAGGAGTTATGCTTGAGCTTCATTAAAATGATTTTACTCGGAAGCCAGCAGTACTGCCTTTGGACATAGTCCTGGGCAACTTGGTGTAGGTGCCTCTGTGTGTAGCTGGGGACTTGGAGCAGATGACCTCCAGAGATCTCTTCCAAGCTCAACTATTCTATTATTCTCATCACAGTGCTCATCACTACAGATGTTACTTTTGAAATATTAGCAAGAGTGATGCTGCCAAAGAAAGAAATAATATTTGCTGGTTGGAAAGTTTGTTCTCTGAGCAGAGAAGTCTGGTCTTCAGATCTCTGCCACTTCCTCAATAATTTAGTTTAAAATTTCCTCCTTGGTCTCTTCTGAATTGATTTCAAACATGGGGAGAATACCTTATAAACTGACAGTTTATGCTCACTGCTGTGCACTTTACAGCCTCCCCTACAAAGCTTAAGAACATGGATAGCAATCTGAGACTCTATATCTGTTATTTGCTGTTTACAACTTATTTCTGGAAAATATATATAATTTAATGAATTCACAAAGTTCTAAACATATCATTAACAAGAGATTCAGCAGAACAAATAGAAAGCTTGAGACTGTCCTGATTATATCCCTTGAAAATAAATGCTATCAGTGCAAACATGGATTTATTATACGGTGAAATCATTGTCTGATATGCTGTTTTCCGGCACATCCACAGCTGAATCAGGTAGCAAAACTGCAACTCTGTCCTCCTGAAAATTGCTGGTACAATTTGAATTTTGTACATAAGCTAGAGCCCAACAAAGAAATATATAAACAATTGATTCTTGAAATTTGAGTCCTTTTGAGTCCTGTCTTAAAGAAAACAAAAAAAAAAAAAACAAAAAAAACCAACCTTGCTCATGCATTAGGACTTGATTTAGCACATGATAAATGCACTATTTGTGTACTATATGTGTACTACTAATTTCCACTTGAAGGGATTTAAGGCTTGTCCTCTGACAGATATGGCATAATCACTTTTATAGACAGCATCATTTTTATTTGAAGAATTAGAGTTGTTTCACACAGGTAAGAAAGGGAAGAAGGAATACAGAAGGCATATGAATGTTTAACACTGAATCTTCAATTGATGACTTGCACTTTTTGAAACTGCAGCTGGCGTGGGGATGAGCAAGCACAGATAGTTTTATAAACAATTACATAGTATTCCCTGTGCGGATGTATCAGTAGATTTAAACAAAGTGCACCTACACATGTATTGAATGCTACCACAGAAAACAAAGCAAAACATACATTTATCTGCTTGTTAAGATGAAAGAAAAATAACTAGATGTGTTCAAGGCACTGGAAAAATAAAACATGTGGCCATAAAGCTTGAAAATAGTGAAAAATGTAGGCAACCTTAACACCACATTTTCAGTATAGATTCTAGCCTGCCTGGTTAAAAGGTTCAGGGCTTCTCAGAGCATAAGAAAGCGAAATATTTTTATTTTAATTATTTGGAATAAGCATAAGAGGGGAAAAGTCAGAAGAGGTTGTTTACATTTTCTATCTTCTCATCTGTCTGATGACAAATCATACAGGAATGACAGTATATTCTTTCCACAATAATCAATTAAATTTACATTGCACACAGCTGAATAAATCTTCCTGCTATACAAGCTTCAGATTATACTTAAGAAAATCTGGGAAACAGAAATAGTATGTGGTCAGACGATACTATAAGCATGATCATTAAGAAATCTTCAGTGTCAGGGATTTCCCCTCTCCTCTAAAATTTATTATGGAGAACAAATAAAATGCATCAATCACAGTTAAAAACTGAAGGGAGCAGGGTGGAAGTATGTAGGACTTTATATATGTGTTATGGCTCCAGAAAAAGTCTGGATAACAATTTGATATGAAAATAAAATAGCTTTTAAAACACTGATACCTGAAGCAATTAAAAAAAAAAAAACAACCAAAAAACAAAACAAAACAAACAACAACAAGAACAACAAAACAGAAACAGAAACCAAAGTCATGTATGGAAAATAAACATCTGCAGATATTAGATGGCACTATGTTGACCACATCCATACCAAAATGCAGAGAACAAGAAATTTAAAATGGTGAATTCCATAACATTACTGTTATTATTACTGCTTTACAGTTAGCATTAGAGTCTTCAATACTGCCAGAGCCCTGATGTACTCATGGAGACAATAGTCTCAAGAAGCTTGAATTGTACATTAAGATTAGAGATAGCAGGTAGGTGAGATAAACAAGCTAATAGAGTGGAAAAAAAAATACATGTAATTTAATAGGTTATTTTAACATAAACTGTCTGTTTGTGAGCTACCGAGCTATAATAATTAGCCATCTGCCTTGCCATTTTCAGCCTGCAGTTTTTTCAATGCATAAAAGGGGAAGAAAAGTATAATAATGGTTGGCTGTACACACGTTGGCAAGTTTAATCTGGGTGAAAGACACAAAAGAAGGAGAGTTATTAGTAGGAGAAAATACAGCAACTCTGCTCCACATTTTCAGAGAGGTGATTTTTGTAAAGGAAATATTAGACTAAAATCCCAGTGAGCTTTTAAGACTACAAATGAGGTAAGAAGCTTATTTTCTGATACAAAGCCAAGTCAAACTGACAGTACACAGATTATTATAACCTAATTGAAATATATCCAATAGAAGAGCACACAGGAAAAGTAGCTCTAAATATACATACTCAATGATATACTCTAAATTACCTATAAAGACTCAGGAAAGAGACTTGGGAGACAAGTCCGACAGTTTTGTGGAAACAACAGTTCAAAACTCGGGAAGCCAGAGAGGAAAAAGAATGCAAAAATAGGTATAGAGAGAAATTTCTAACCTGGAAATTTTCATCTTATTAAAGAAATGAACTAGTGATGTAAAACTGCATTTGATGTAAAGAACTTGCAGAATTATACTTCCTTCTTTTAAAAAAAAAACTTAAAATGAGCCAAGGAAACGAACAGGCTCCATCCAGATTAAGCCAAAGAATTACTTTTTTTCATGCAAGAAAGAAATTACCTAAAGATTTTAGGAGCACAGGATGTTGTGAAAGCAAAAAGGAAATACAGATTCAAAAGGACTGAACAAACTCATGATATCTATTTAATCAATTAATTTTGCAAGAATAAAATTTAAAACTGTTTTATTTTCACTCTTTTGAAAAGTAATTCAGAAGATCACTCAATCACCACAGAACAATAAGTATCCCAATGTTTAGGCAACACATCTATGTATGTGTATGTATATGGAGGACTAGAAACTGCACAGTCTGGAACAATAAGGAGCTTCCCAAGGAAAGACAGGGAAAGACACACAGAGACAGTCAATCTGTTGAGTTTATAGATGGCTTCAGCCTCAAGCTTCAAATTCAGAAAACAGCATCAATCAATCCATCAGCTTCAAGTGAAAGACATCAGGTTAGCCTCTTCTGTTGGAACTGTTCTGCTTTGTATAGGTAACTACTAGTTTTAATAGGGATGCAAAATTTCATTTCCCATTGTCTTCAGTACATGCTTTAGATGTTCAAATATAAGTGATCTTCCTCTCTACTAAAAGCTGTAGTTAATTATATAGTGTAGAGGTACACTAACAATACATTGATACTATACATAAGAAAAAGTAAGTTTAAAAAAAAAAAAAATAGATTGCTTAATTTGCACCAGTTTCATAAATAAGCTATGGCCCTGATCCTGCAGAATGATTCTGAGGGAGATCTATATTCTTACAGATGTCTACTCTTATGAAGCCAAAACTACACAAATGCTCAGAAAACAGTCAAGTGTTCTGTGTAAAGGACACAGTCATGAAAACTTCGGGTTTTTCAAGATTGGGTAGTAGGGCATAGAAAGATAGTTAAGTTTCCATGTTTCTATTACTTTTTGATTTTGAAATTCTTTTTTCTTAATATCAGAGAATTTTTAGTGAGTATGCAATCATGTACTTAAAAAAAAAAAGCAAAACTAAAAAGACAAAAACAGATACAAAATCAGGAACACCTCTGCATGGTATTCTTCAAAAACAACAACAAAATGTGATTGAAAGGACAAATAACCACGTTGCCCCTTTCAATAGTTTTCTATTCTCTCTTTGGTTTTCTTGCAAGCAGCCATCTTCTAAAGGCAAACCAGAGTGAATTAACAATTTAACACACCATTGTATTGTATCTGAATAGTACAATAGTAAAGATAGCCTTTTCAAAATTGGATTCAGGATTAAAGGTTAAAGTGGTCAATAGCAAGGAAAAAGTTATAAAATTATAGAGTGGTTTCCTGCATCAGTAGACACACTGCAGGAATACTGCTCCATTGAAAATTGGGAAATATAATTTCAATTCCCTCTTGCGAAAGGAAGGATGGTACATTATATACAGTACTTACCAAAAACTTGAAGGAATGTCTGTCTTTTATCATTTCCTGCTTTGTTTTTAGCACTGCAGATATAAGGACCTGCATCAATATTTTTTATATCTCTTATTGTTAACTCTGTATTGCTCCCTCTCAATATGTATTTTTCATTTTCTTCAATAAGTTTACCATTCCTAAAAAAATAAAAAATAAAAAAATAAAAAAATCAGTGGGATCCAAAGTGCAATAGTGCACAATGAAAGCACCAATCAATTTTAAATAATCTTGTAAGAAAGTGCTATTATGCTGTTAAGAAAAATGCATTAACTCACGTGACATAAACGGGCAGTGTGTGCAGAAGGGAGTTAATATGGGCATGATGACAACTGTTCTGCTGGATTAGTGTCGTGTTTTTTTTTTTCCATAAGAATGTGCACATTCTAGACATAAGCAATGCATTCTGGACTCCATTTTGATGTTCAAGACCCCAGGTTCACAATTTTATTGTCAGATTCTAAAATATATGTATTAAAATACTATAACAGTTTTATTATTAAATTTTCATGACTTAATGGTAGAAGAAATACTTGTGAATAGAACTCTACTACATGACTTGCACTCAAGGAATCAGACAAATACATAGTTGTATAAATGAAACATTCAAAAGCACATTTTTAAGTTTACCATTGCAGTTCACATTAGTAATAAAGTATTGATTCAGAAAAATAATTTTATATTACTTACACATAGAGCCTCCTGGCACATAAAGAACTCTTCTGAGTTACTTCCTTTCAGATGTTGTTAGCTAGCCACAATTTAGTAAGCAGACATATTTCCAGACATTATAATTACCCCTGACCAGATGGTATAGAAATAATAAAACGTGTGAACAATTTTGAGGGCTGATCAAGGCTTGACCACTCCATCTCAGTACCTTGGCATACACAAGCTTATTGTAATGGTTTCTTCTAAATGGGAGCAATTCTAACTTAGGTTTTTTTTTGTTTTTTTTTTTCATTCTGACTCGTTTGATCTAGGATTCTTTTGTCCTTACTTATGTAGAATCACCAGTGTGTTCTCATATGCCTATGTGAAGACTGCCTGATTTTCATCAGCATTAATAAACTTGATGGCCAAGCTCTTTGTGAAAGGAAACCAATGCATATCCCTGTTTTCATGGCCATTTTACTTCAAGATTTGAACAGAAACCATGTTCACATTCTTTCTGCTCATAGAATGCTGATATATTGTTATACTTCATATTTTCTAAAATAATACTTTCCCTAAAAGTGAAAACATCATATATTGTTTGTTTTTTCCCCTCCTTGGGAATATTAGTGGTGTACCCTGGCATCTGTTTATCTTGCATTTCACTAACATTTTTGTTATTTTTCCACTTAAGTGTTTTCATAAAAATTACAATAATCTCTGTAGGAGACAAGAGACCATTCTGAGTGTCAAAAGTAGTGTCCAAGTGTCCTTCATCTCATCCATTACCTGTATCTATGATCGCATATGAGAAGAAATTAGATCATGAAGATTACCATGGACCTTCTAGGAAAAGGGAAGGTTCAGATTAACACTGATACGGGTGAACAAGAAAACACAATGTGTTAAAAGAAGACTGTTTCTTTTATTATTTCTTTTGTTAGGTACTTCTATGCCTTGTCGGTAGAGACATAGGGAACAGATCCCATTAAACTTTATTACTGTAAATGATCTCCACAAATGTAAACAATAACTGTGTTTTCCGTAGGACTATTCCCACGAGTAAACATTACTAGTTCAGGACCCATACGTTTAAATTATATTTCAGCCCCCACTAATTTATTTCTATTAGCGTATTGTTTCTCTGAAGGCCATGGTTTAATGTAATATCAGTTAAGCAGAGGAAGAATTACATTCCCTTAGTCCATGAAATATTAACAAAGTACATTTACATATTAAATACAGTGAACTAAAACTAAATGTTGACAACCCTTCTTCTAGGTACCTCAAGCTGACTAACTAGAAAATGACCTATGGCATTTTTGAGTAATGTCAACACAACAGCTCAGATGCCTCCATTCTAGAATGAGCTAGAAATAGAAAGGGTCAACACAACTAGTTAAAGCTCTGTCATACTAGGTACGGTCTAAAGAGATGTTTAAACTTGAAACTACAGTTTTGATCAGCAACTTGATTAATTCAATGGAGAAGAATGTAAGACACTTCAATATCACTAGCATTTGATTTTCAAGACTTTTTTCATGTCCGGGCAGAATTTAACATTCTGTTAAATCAGTTCATTGGAAAGTGAAAAAGAATCAAGAGAAAAGAAAATCAGATTTCAACTGATTAAAATAGCAAAGGATTATAAGGAAGGTAGGGCTATACAATGAGAGACTCAAATTATGCAAGCCTTGTTAAAGAAAATTCACTAGAGCCAATGAGAGATTTTTAGGAGTCAGGGCATATCTTAAAAAATGAAAAAAATACAGAGAACATTCCACTGTTACTTAATATTGCTGAATCATGTCAACAGGTACAGAGGTACTGCTTTCTAGATAGTACAATGGAAATCCTCTAAACAACTGAAGTAGAACTTGTCCACATCCTTTCTGTCAATCAGGTCTCCAGAAAACTCATTACACTTGCAAGTGTTCTAAGAGGGATTAAGAACATATATTTCTATTCCTTGTATTTAGTGCACTTTGTGTTTATTCCTAAATAACAGGGACGTCCACAAGTTTTTTTTTATCTTGTTCTATAATAGTTTGTACCTTTCTGTTCTTTCTTCCTTAGCATAGCTATGAATTCATACAACAGACTTCCATTAAATCACTTCACTATACCTGCTCATTTTACAAATGGATAACCTGAGACAAGCTAAATAAAATGTCTGAACACACACTGACAAACTGTCACAGCTATCTCTAGATCTACCTGTGTCCATGAAAGGGGGAAAGCAGGCTCACAGGCCCATCAATCCAAAGAAGGGTAGGATGGGGGGATGGTGTCAACGATTTATGGGACGGTTCAGCCCAGTTCTGTGACTAATAGGACCCATAGACGAACACCCCAGGAAACGGAGGTGCTCAATGACTTCTGTGCCTCAATCTTCACCTGCAAGGGTTCCAGCAACACCACCCAAGCCACAGAAAGCAAAGGTAAGACTTGGACAAGGAAGATCTGCCAGCTCTAAGTGAAGATCAAGTTCAAGAACTGAATTGAAGGTGCATAAATCCAAGGGATGCTATGAGATCCATCTACAAGTTTTGAGGGAACTGGGAGGTGAAGTTACAAAGCTGCTATCCATCATATTTGAAAGGTTATGGAAGTCTGGTGAAGGTCCCACTGATTGGAAAAGGAGAAACGTAACCTCTATTTTCAAGAAAGGGAAAAAAGAAGATCCAGAGAACTGCAGTCCAGTCAGCCTCATCTCTGTGCTGGGCAAAATCATGGAGCAGATCCTCCTGAAGGTTCTACTAAGGAACATGGAAAATAAAGATGAGGTGATTGGCCCTGAGGAGGAAGATTTGGGGTGGCAGTTGATGCAAACTCAACATGAGCTAGCAATTGCACTTGCAACCTAGAAGGCAAACTGTATGCTGAGTTGCATCAAGAGAAGCAGGTCGACGGAGGTGATTCTGCCCTCTGCTCTGCTCTCATGACACCCCACCTGGAGTACTGCATAAAGTTCTGGAGTCCCCAACACGAGAAAGGCATCAAGTTGTTGGAGCAGGTCCAGTGGGGGCCACAGAGAAGACCAGAAGGCTGTGAGAGCTGAGGCTGTTCAGCCTAGAGAACAGATGGCTCTAGCACTACCTTACAGTGGCCTTCCAGTACCTGAAGGGGGCCTACAGAAAAGCTGGGGAGGGACTTTTTATAAGGGCAGGTAGTGACAGGACAAGGGGAAATGGTTTTAAACTGGAAGAGGGTAGATTTAGACTAGATATTAGGAAGAAATTCTTTGCTGTGAAGGTGGTGAGACACTGGAACAAGTTACCCAGTGAGACTGTGAATGCCCCCTTCCTGGAGCTTTCAAGGCCAGGCTGGATGGGGCTTTGAGCAACTTGATCGAGTGGGAGGTGTTCCTGCCTATACCAGGGGTTGGAACTAGACGTCCTCTAAGGTCTCTTACAAACCAAATAATTATATGATTCCATGAAATATTAGATCAAGTTTGTTCCTTCGAGAATATAATTACCGAGCTCCTTCCATCTTTTTTTTTCCCGTTTCCATACCTGTCACAATTCCTGTCACAGACTTTGGGGACCTTTTCTACTTATCAATTTACAACCTCTTACCACTAGCAAAAAAAAAAAAACAACAAAATGTTTTCTACCCACTCAGAATGTATAGCCTAGTAAGACAAAATAAAATAAAATAAAATAAAATAAAATAAAATAAAATAAAATAAAATAAAATAAAATAAAAATAAAGAGGGAAGGGAAACACAAGCCAGTACTGCTCACTTGGTTTCTGAAATGACCTATATATTCTTGCTTAAAATCAATACAGATTACACTACCTGAAAAGCTTTTGTAAAATCCGTATGAAAGATAATGAATGGTGTAAAACAGTTGCTTGTCCCAGTGACAGGCAAACTAAAGGAAAATTAAAAAGGCAGTACATCAACACAGACAAATGTCTCTCCAAGACACTTAGCCTGTACACATATTGTAGTACTTATAAAGCATTGAAAAAAACACATCTGTAAACAGAGTTTCTTTTGTAACAGTAAAAATGTCAGCACTGGTTTATCTTATGAAAAGGCCACACTAAAGAATTAACTTTTTGTTCTATTTATTTGTGTCTGCCATTGAAATTGTAAAAGAGAAAAATTTAACTCTATGTTTGCCTTATGACATGTTAGGATAAAGGTGTCAGTCAAAGGAAGCTAACATTTAAAAATCAATAAAATTATTCAAAGACTCCAAAGGAGATTAATAACTGATAGGAATCCCTAAGTCATTTATAAAATGTAGACCTGAAATAAAATGTATGGATGCAATTATTTGCATTTTTACAACAGTTACATAGTAAATGTTCCCAAATATCTCTGGTGTTCATTTCGATGACACCATCAAAGAACATACAAACTTAAAAAGCAGTTCCATATTTCAAAATATATTACGTGTTTAAAAAAATATAAACAACACTTTAAACTTATTCCATGAAGCATTCGCAATGGTAGGGTTGTTTGGAGCCTTCTGATCTCCTTCTGAATGAGAATGTAATTGAAATGCAGAATTAGGATTAGAATCAGATTTAAAAATGTGTTATTTTTACAGAAAGATAAAGAGTTTTTTTGTTATTAGAACTGCTGATCTGTATTGGTTATTTATTTATTGCATAATTGTATGTGTTTGTATGTACATACGTATGTTCAGTTTTTACGTTAAGTACTTCTATGCAAAAGTTTTAAGTTTTTTGTTTGTATTTTCTTGGAGAAATGGACTAATTGCTTCAACCTTGATTTTGTTCAAACATGAAGAAATCATCTGAATACGGTATTTTACATTTTTAATTTATCTCACTTTCATAGTAACCTGAGTACAGTTGCATTTCTGTGTGTTTTCACTTATTATAATGATTCTTATTTTATACATGTATTATCATAATAATTCATTTGTTAATGCTGAATCTAGTTTCAGAAATTAAGAAGATAACTAAATAGCAAACCGTTTTAAAATTCAGTAAATAATTAAGATTGCACTGCTTACTTCATGGAGTGTTACATTAAATCACGACAGAAAAAAAGCAATGTGCTATGATGTGCAGATCTCAACTGAACTTACCTAGACCAACTTATTTCTGGTGGAGGCGATCCAGTGGCTCTGCAAAACAAAGTTATGGATTCTCCTCGATCTGCAGTGGCATTAAAAGATTTCTGTAGCACAGTAATTGCAGGGGGAACTGGAGAATAAAACATTATTTCCCATTAATGGAACATACAAGATTCTTTATGTTTCTGAAGAAATTTAAAGCACAGAATCCTTTGCTAAATTTGGAATTTATACTTACACAATATGAATCAGTTATCAGTATTTTTGTATTTTATCTTAAACAGACAGTGATAGACTTCTAATATTGTCAGGCATTTATGACTTCTTTGCACTGTGATAAATTCAACATAAGTCTTATTTGATAGCTGCCAATTTTCTTACAGAGTGTTTTAAAGCTAACGAAATTATACCTAGCAGTTATGTATGTACTCTACCACACACAAAGAGTTACTGTTGGTAATTTAATTATTTTCAATGAAAATATAGTCTCTTCTCTTTCACTCAACTACACAGTGGACATAGAACTATGCACTGATACCAGACATTGCTTAAAAAATAGCTGTCAATACATAGCATTATCTACCAAACATACTTCAATCTTTTTATTGAATTTCCTTTGTATGACTATCACCAGCTTAAAGAACATAAACTGTGACAGACACAATGGACATAATCTATTTTAGGAATTATTTTTATTTATTTTAATAATCTATTTAGGAATTACAACCTGTTTTGGTAATTGTGTTCTGCGGATCACATATTTTGTCTGTCCTTTATGAGACAAATTCAATAATGAAATTAAAACCGTTCACAGAGTACCTCTCTGCCCAACAGAAAAAATAGCAGCAATATTAAAGACAGAACAACTCATAGGATGCTTTTAATATCTCTGTTCATATGAAATTTTAAGACACTTGCCCTGTTTCCATTAAACTCTCACGTAAATAAACAAAGAAAAATAATTCCAGCAAACTGGAAGTAAGATAACATGGAAAATAAATGAGAGGAAGGAAAAAACACACAAAATACAGCTTTCTGCTAGTAAGAATACCATGTTATTAGAATGGCTCAGATTTATCCTTTTTAGCTTTAATTTTCAGTAGAGGACAGAAGGCAACCCCAATGAATTTGCTTATGGTTTACCACTGTAACTCCACATTTTTTCTCACAAACTGTTGAGAATCAGTTTCTGTTGTTTTAAACAATACAAATATTTTAGCTTTAAGTTTCTCTCTCAAAAACCATTCCAACTTCTGAACTTTGAACACATTAAATTATTAAAACAGTGACCCAGAATCACTGATGAGTAGTAAGTAAATGTTTTTCTGTACTTTTGACTCTTTATCATCGTGTGTTGAAATTTACATATTTCACAGATCAATTCTTTCCTACTTAAAATTGCAGTACTCAGCTTATAAAAACCATTCTGTTGTGCTGTAGTAACTTGTCCATCTTGCATTTCAAAGTGTCGCACAGAAAGCATTTGTAGACTTTAGACATTTTGTAGTGCATTCTAACATTTAGATCTGAAAATATGGTTAGTGACATGAGATGACTTATCAATCCTTCCCCAAAAGCAGCAGCTTCTTCTGTACTCACAACTAAGAACTACAGGACCATGACCCATTTCAGCAAATTACTTTAGAGTTTCAATCTTCCCAGAGACACTGTGATGACAATTAAGTCAAATATCCGTTTTCTTACAGCTCTTTCTGGAAAGTGAAGTCTGTTTATCTCAGTTCTGCACTTTTATGTACAGCTAAAGAATGAACCTAAAAGAAGAAAAGCTAAATGGTTTTGGATATAATAAGCAAGACACTAGCAAGTCTCTCACATTTCTAATTTAAAGCAAAATGGAAAAGTCCAGATTTTCAGTACATTTAAGTACAACTCACTGATAACATTTTTCATCTTTTCACCGAAGAGCATTAAAATTTTTTGTATCTTTCTGATTTTCGATATTAATATAAAACTCATTTGTGGTTGGGTTAAATAAACTCACTTTTATCTCTGAAAAGCTATTTATTCCCATACAAATTAAGTGGAAAATAGCTCTTAATTGATACCACTCTACATGAGCAACAATGTTAGAATCTCTGTTGGAAACCTCTTTTCCTCACAACACTACAGAACTCCAAACTCTAGACTGAAGTGAGTGTTGGCGTTCTTGTCCAGAGTAATAACAAATATATATATATATAAAAGAAATTTGTAGATCTAATCTACCAATAGAAGATGTGGTGTGGGATCACAGTTTGAAATCTGATGTTCCAGGTTTCACTCTCACTCAGCTCAACAGCATACATCAAAGAGAAATGACAGGTGTTCAAAATGTAGGTTTGTATACATATACACAAATACTAGTAGAATAAAACGTCATTCAGCATTTTAAATATTATCAAGTGAAGGAACTGTTGGAATATACTCAGGAGTCAAGAGGTAATCTGCTTAAAAACAAACAGTAATTAGTTTAAGGGTCTTCGTTGGATGGGGCACATATTGTTATATTTTATCACAACACACAAGTTAACCACCCATTTGCTTGTCACAGTCTGCACACTGTCTAAAAACTCCTAGAGTTCTCTTTCAAATATTGCTGCTTGACTACAGGGATTAAATAATGTGGGCCAGAATGCAATTAACTGAGAATTCAACTTATATAATAACTTATGTAAACCAAGATGTGCAGAGGACCAGTCAAGGATAAAGCATTTATAACTCAGGAACTAATGGCACAATGGAAGCAGCTTCATTGAAATACTGACATTAAACAGAATGGGGTGGACAAAAAATGCCCTTCATGAACTGTGTCTTTTCTAGACAACATATGAATATACATTTATTTTTCAACAGGCCAACCCTGAATTTAAGAGAGAGGGTAAACTAACTGCTCTATTTTGTCCACATTTTCTCATGTTCCTTCCTAGAGTTTTTAAAGAAACTAATAAAATGTTAAAATGCCAATTATCAGATAACTCCTTTTAATCTACATTAAAAATAAAATGTTAAGGATCAATAAGCAATACTTCTTAATAAAATGTATTCATGATTTTTGGGGTGGTTTTAAACAGAAGTAATTAATAAAATACGTACAATGGAGTAAAGATGAATTACTATGAAAAATCAAAAGGTTTTTAACAGTAAGTAACACTAGCACTGAAAAATACACTGAAATAAATAACTACACATTGTAAACTGAAACTCAAGCTTCATAGTGATTGTTAGTATTGTTCAAATTATTAATAACAGTTGAGCTTTTGCATAATAATATACTTCAATACTATGAAATGCAATGAATTCTACTTATATACTGTGTAAGATTTTTTTTTTTTAATAGCAAGTAATTACCTTTATAGGAAAACAATACTGAACAAACATGAAATCCTTATTAATCAATTTAATTAGTTAGAAACTAATATGTTTTATAATTAAGGCTATGATAATCAGCTAAATTAAGAAGTTAACTCATTAACTTTTACTCCTTACCATTCACAATAACAATTATATCCCGAAAGTCAATCTCTCCTCTGGCTTCCACTCTTCCTTCACAACGGTATACTCCTTCATCACTTTTATTGATGTTAAGAATCTGAAGATTATTGTTGGCTAATATTGCCAATCGATCTAGAAAGTCATGTAAAAGATTAAGTGGTGTTAACAGCCATTTCCTCACAACACAAAACAAACACAGTGTTTATATTTCAAAACAGCCAAGAGTTTGTTCACAGAACATACGTATATACATCTTCACAGGAAAAAAAAAAAAGTTTTTTTAATGCTATGTGAATTTAGTTTCATTACCAGAGACTCTATCAGAAAATGAAGACAGAAATGTAAAGAGAACATTTAATTGTGCTTCATCTGATAGAGGTTTACAGGACACTGATGGTGTCAATGTGTTTACATTAATGATGTATAGATTCTTAAAGTCAAACTTGAAAATTAATGCCACTACACACACTACCACAAACAAATGAAATCATTTCCTCTTTCCTGTTGCTTTCCAATTCCCAGAGAACTGTGCTTCAAGACATTTTGAAAAGCTGAGATCTTTTAACTTGGGTGAACTTTTTGCTAAAGTAAATTGTTAATGTGTAAGACAGATGAGAGAAACAGAGAACATTTCTTCAAAATGTTGAAACACTGAAAGCTCATTTATCAGTGGAAAAAAGGAATGGGAGATGTTGACTGCATACTTTTTCAACTCTTGATCAAGAATAATAAAATGGATACAGTAGAATCATAGAATCCTCAGAGTTGGAAGGAACCTTTAAAGGTCACCTAGTCCAACTTCCCTGCAATGAACAGGGACATCCACAGCTCAATCGGGTTGCTCAGAGCCTGCTCCAGACTGACCTTGAAAGTCTCTAAGGACAAGGCATCAACCACATCTGTGAGCAACCTCTGCCAGTACGTCACCACTCTCACTGTAAAAGATTTCTTCCTTACACCCAATCTAAATCTCCCCTCTTTTAGTTTGAAACCATTTGCTCTGGATCTTCACCAAAGACCCTATTAAAGAAGAAGTCTGTCCCCTTCTTTCCTGTAGCTCCCTTTTAAATATTGAAAGGCCAATGTCAGGTCACCTTGCAGCCTTCTCTTCTCCAGGCTGAACAGCCCCAACTCTTTCAGCCTGTCTTCGTAGGACAGGTGTTCCATCCCTTGGATCATCTTTGTGGCCCTCCTCTGGATACACTCCAACAGGTCCATATCTTTTCTGCACTGAGGACTTCACATCTTAGACACACTACAAGTGTACCACAGGTGAGACCTCACCAGTGCAGAGTAGAAGTGCAGGATGACCTCCCTCAACCTGCTGGCCACACTTCTTTTGATGCAGCCCAGGATACAGCTGACTTTCCGGGCTGTGAGGGCACATTGAGGCCTTATGTCTTGCTTTCCATCCATCAGTACCCCCAGGTTTTTTTTGACTTTTGAAAGGTTTGTGTTCAAACCTTTTATCTCTTAGCTTGTATTGGTAGTATGAGTTGCCTTGTTTCAGGTGCAGTATCTTGCACTTGGCATTGTTGAACATCATGAGTTCCTTCTCCTGGACCCACTGCTCAAGCCTGTCTAGGACTCTCTGAATGGCACCCTGTCCCTTGGGCATGTCAACTGCACCCCATAGCTTGTTGTCATCGTAAATGTGCTGAAGATGCACTCAGCCCTACTGCCCAGGTCGCTGATGAAGAGATATTAAAGAGTATTGGTACCAGCACCAACTCCTGGAAGACACCACTCATCACTCATCTCCATCCAGACATTGAGCCATCGACCACCACTCTCTGGGTTTGATCCTGCAGTCAGTTCTTCATCCATCTAACAGTCCATTCATCACATCCACATGTTTCCAATTTGGAGAAAAGTATGTTGAGAGGTACAGTGCCTTACTGAAATCCAAATAGATGATATCAGTGGCTCTTCCCTTGTCCTCGCAGTGACACCATCATAGAAAGCCACCAGGTTGCTCAAGTAGGATTTGCCTTTGGTGAAGCCATGCTGGTTCTCTCATTTCACCTCCCTGTCTTCCGTGTGCCTTAGCGCTGCTCCTAGGAGGATCTGCTCCATAATCCTTCCCAGCAGAGAGGTGAGACTGACAAATTGGCAGTTCCTACAGTCATCCTTCTTACCCTTCTTAAAAATGGGTGTGATGCTGCCATTTTTCCAGTCAAGAGGGACTTCACCTGATTGACATGACTTTTCAAATATCATCAGGAGTGGCTTGGTGACTATCAGCCAATTTCCTCAAGACTCTGGGATACATCCAATCTGGACCCAGAGATTTTCAGATGTTCAGTTTCCTCAGGTGGTCACGAATCTGATCTCCCCTAACAGTGGGAGAGTCATTGCTTCCCCAGCCCCCTCCTTCCAATCCAATTGTTTGAGGGTTGGGTGATGAGCTGTTATCAGAGAAGACTGAGGCAAAAAAAATTGTTGAGTACTTTGAGTTAGCCTTCTCCTCATCTGTAGTTACCATTTTGCCTTTGTCACTCACTTAGGGTAGAATACATTCCTTTCCTGTCTGAGTTACCTATAGAAACCTTTCTCATTCTTCTTGGTCAAGTTTAGCTCAAGCTGGACGTTGGCTTTCCTGACCCTGTCCCTACACAGCTTAACAGCTAGGAGAAGATATTCTCATGAGTAAAGCAAATACTATAAAGTAATAGCATTTTATTCTATATTAAAGATAAGAATTTTGCAGCATGGACTTTTGATTACTTCTGTTTTTTCAAATCTTAACATCATCTGTCTTATTGTGCTCCATTTCTACACAGACAAACTTCTCCAAGGTCAATTTACAGAATCAGAGAGATTCATCTTCAACAAATCTTACAGTCTAGCTATTAGGAATCTATCCTAAACAGATCACCTATATCTCCTACTGTTTGTAACTTAAATGTAGCTTACACTTACATAAGTTAATGCTCACAACAGTGCAACAAGCCTATCTACCTACAAGTCCCAGAGCTAATGTGAAAGTATATGAAGTCCGTCAGTGTTTGCTCAGTAAATTCTACACTCTGAGGAAGCATCACAGCTTTGCCAGCATGAAGAATTTTATCCAAGTATGTTTTAAAAACATGTTCAGCTCCCACATGCATGGTAGCCCAGAAAGAGTTCCTGCAGAATAGTTCCAAATAATCTAATGCACATTTGGACCTTCATGGCACAGCTAGAAAAAATTTCCAACTTTAGAAAAAGAAGGACGGATACTATAGCATACAGATTCTTAATAGAACACAGCACCTGGTTAAACTCCACTTAACTGATGGACTAGTCAAAATGCACTCCATAATTACAATGTTATAATGTCATTTTCTTCAACAACAACATTTCAATGTGAATTAAAATGTATAACTTAAAGAGTTACCAAAATACTAACTGTCAGCAAGAGTTGATATTTCTTCATTCCGATACAGCCAGCTGACAATGGGAGCAGGTGAACTAGTGACACGGCAAACAACTTCTGCAACTTCTCCCTGCCTGAACTCTTGTGGAGATACTATGTCCCGAAAAGTGAGCTTTTCTAAAAAGGAAGAAAACAGAATACCATTAGTACTTTACAGTTCGCTCAGCATTGAAGTTAAATGTGGTATCAAATTAGATGTAGTTAACTATTAAGACTTCATCATGTTCACAGTATAGAATTACTTCCATAATACATTTTTCTAAGATTCAAAGACTCTAACATTTCAAAATTCAAAATGGTCCTGAAGACAGAACATTCACTCTATCTCTAGGAATGATTTTACAATCATTTGGCATTACAAAAATGTTCATTTTATTTATATAAACTCAGCATGCTTTATAAGTATGTTTTTCATCATTTTCAATGGTCCAGAGCTCAGTTTTGAAGCTCTAGTTTTTCAGAGGTCTACACATTCAGGTTAATAGTCCTTCCTACTCTCTTTCATGTTTTATTTCTCATGATCTTCTTATTGAATTAATTCCTCATGTTCTCATTGCATCTAAATGTCCACTGAAACCACCTGGAGAAGTCTTATTAGAAAGGTGGAACTACAGCTTCATTGGCTATGATAAATTATCAGCTGATAAGTCAAAAAACAATGGGAAAATATATGAAAAAAGTTTCTATTTTTGTCACAATAATTTGTAGGAGGTTTTGCTCTAAGATTCTGAGGATTCTGATAACACTTTTTCTTGATTCTGGTTCCAAGTAATCACACTTAATATTTAGTTTTATTAGTGAGTTTAAAAAGTTCAGTATTATGAGAATTCAGCAGAAGAACTTCAAGCTGGCATTAAAACATAGTCTCATCCAAGATCTAATGCAGAAAATTTCTGCAAGAATTTCTTGCACGCAGAAGAAACGAGTTGACTTATATTCCCTAGAACCAAACATTGCCAATTCCATTTAAGAGGATTTTTGAAGAATTTAAGTCAGAGAATGCAATTCTTTCTGTATTAATATGAGTGCACACTCCAATAATCCATACATTTTCCACAGTAGAGCGAGCGAGCTTTTGCTATGTACACATCTTGCCCACTTTTATAAAGTATTTGTTTAAAATATCTGAAGTATTTGACTACACTTATGCCTGAGAAGAACTCTTACAAACAAGTTACACAGTATATCCTGCTTTTTCCTTATAATACATTACAAATACAAACAATGACACTTCTATATGTTAGCTTCCATAAACATTTCCATTTATTGTGTACGTCATTGGGCTTGTCTCAGAATTATTAAAATTACCACATGCACACACTTCAAAAGATTTCAGCTACGTTCAGCTCCTTGCTGACAGAGTGACTGACAGCTTTAAGCATAAAAATGAATTCCACAGAACTTGCAATCCTTTGAACTGTCAGCTTTCAAGCCATCATGTAATTGCTTGTAACTGCTATCATCATTCTAATGGTTGTTTTATCAATAGCTTTAGAAAAAAAAAGTGTATCTTTTGTTGTCTGAGTTATCTATACCTTTCAGAAGCAGTGCTTTATGATTATTTTCCGTCACAAGGCAATTCCTTAACATTTAATCCAACCAGAAATGTATTTTTTATGAAAGACTACTCTCCAATGAAATTACTGAAGAATTCAGCTGAAACGATGTCAGCAAATGTCCCCTTCTTTCACCCAAACATTCCTTAGCTTATATCTTTTCACTGTATTTATTTAATATTAGCTTTTAGTCATTTTGATTAATCTAAAGAATATATTATACTGCAAATGTAATGAAATTGGAAAAAAAAACAAACTCTCAGAGAATCTCTAGCAGTAATAGAATGTATTTGCTTTTAACATATATTCAATTAATTGTTAGCAACTGAAAGGCATTTTAGCTGTTTATCATATTAAGCTTCAATGTTCTATATAATGTTCCATTGCAGGGCCAAGAATATGTGAAGACTGATAGAAAACTAATAAATTCACTCTAAACTTCACTTAATTAATAATCTACTTTGCCTTTCTTACTTCTTTATTTACGTACATATTTGTTATAGGTTGCATATGTACTTATATATATGTATATGTACTATATGTACTTACTTATAGGTAAGACTGAAAAAACTTTTTTTTTCTGGTAGTCCCTCATAGTCCCTCTTTTCCACGAGGAACATGTCGTGCACCCCACAGAAATGGTATTGTAAGAGACAAACAGAAAGTAATCTGCAATAATACAAAGTCTTCTTCCTAACTGTGAACTAAACTGCAGGAGACACAATTATTTGGAAGATACACTCCAGAGCCTGGAACAATATTTTGATAGGCTTTGCTTTCTCAATAGCAGTGGCTCTCAAATCATATTCTTTTGTGTTCTATTTGGTATTACTATACTTACGATAAATTTCCAAAACAACAGTAGCTTCTTGAGTTTGTCCTTTAGCATCTGTTGCTTGACATCGATATATGCCAGCATCTTCTACATCTGCATTATAAATGATGAGACGTGATCGAACACCTTCTTTCTGAACAACCACTCTTTGACTAGAAACAATTTTCTCTCCTTGCGGATTGTACCAATCTATGTTGTCAGGCTCACCAATGGCTGCAAAATAAATAAAAAAATAAATAATATGCAAGGTTATAAGTTCAAGGAGACATTAAGTAATGCATATGCACAATCTCTATGCAAAGTCATAGACTGCTGAACTGCGAGAAGGAGTTCTGAGAAACTGCAGAAAGATAAGAAAGGTAAAACCACAGACAAAGGTATGATTGTTGAGACAGGTTAATTAATAGCTCCAGAATTCATGAGGAAAAAATAAACACAGAAACATATAAAATTTGAAAGGAAAAGAAGTCTGGTCAGCAATCACTTTGTCTTATAATTGGTCATACGTCATTCTCAATGGATATTCACAAATCAGCAGCATTAAGAATTCATTTCAGACAGCAGCAAAAGCAAACTCTTTTCTTCTGACTTACTTCTGTCACTATGGAAAAGACTTTCTAAGGATACAACAGCCTAACCTACTAGCTTATTAAATTAAATTAAATTAATTTAAACAAGTAAAAGTATCTTGACCAAATAAGAACAATGATAGATACAAATTATCTACATCAAAGCAGACAAATTTGAAACTAAAGTAATACGGTTTGTTGGAATCTGAAATCAATAGTTTCTAGACTGCAAATGTGAAATCAGTGAAGATCCATTTCTCAGAATTCTCACAAGTCAATATGAATATATAAAAATACGCAAATTTAAGTTAATATTGTGAATTGATTAGTTCACTTTTAAATTAAGCATAAGGTTGAAAATCTAAGAAAAAAAATCTCAAAATAACATGAATACACACCTGTACATGTGAAGAATTTGGATTCACCGACACTGAGTTCGACTTTGCTAAGAGAAATGGAAACCTGAAGTAGAGCTGAAAAATAAAAAGTATACTGTGAACACATTCTCATTCATCTGTCTATAGCTTATATTTTCTTGTTCTATACAGCGTACTATGTAAGCTGTGTATCAATTTCAGCATTGTGTCTTCTGGAGCATATAGAATGTACAGGCTCTCTGGGCTGCCAGCCAAGGCAAATCCCCATAAACTCTGGACAAGCAGACAGGTAGGTTTCTTAAGAATCTAGTCGGATGGTTAGGCTTAAAAGGCAGCAGTTAATTGATCGTTCTCTACCTTGAGGTCAGTAACAAGTGGAGTACCACAGCATTCTGCCTATTTCCAAATTTAACATCTTTATCAATAACCTGGATGAGGTTACTGATCTAGAAAGACAGGAAGAATACATATATAGGAACATCATGATATTCAGTAAGGATAAATGCTAAGTTTTGTACTTCGTAGGAAATAAGGAAACTGAAATCATTCAAGCTGAGGACAGTCATAGAAGAAAAGTGTGCACAGGCAACAGCAGAAGCCAACTGGGTTTTATTCACAGAATCATGATCAAGGAGATCATATACATTAGTAGATGGAGGAGAGCAATTAACACCTCTTCTAGGTGCTCTTCATGCCAAATGCAGAATACCACATATCAACCAGCTTCCCCCAACCCTAACCTCGGAATATAAGAATGATTTTAAGCTTCACATGAGTGAAATTAAGTGTGGGTTGACATGGTGAGTGTAGCTGGGTACTCAATGAATGAGGAGAGGTTGGGAGGACTTGCTTAAACAGGAGAGAGCTATGGAGGAACTAAACAATCAACTGCTCATGCCTGTGGGAAGTTATTAAAAAGATGGATGAAAGACAACTGATAAATTGAGAAACAAGAGAAGTTCAGGCTGGCCATTAGGAAAAAATTATTTATGATGTATTGGAAGGGGTTACCCAGAAAGATTATGCAGTCTCAGTTCTTGCAAGTTTGAAGAGCTTACTGGATAAAGCCTTACAGTATCTGTAGCTCTTCAAGATTTGTTACCTTACAAAATTGGCCAATAAATGTTCATGAATCAATGAATAAAAAAGGTCATGTTAATTTCAAGCTCTAATCAACACATATAAAGGTAAGCAGAAAAGTACTCTCTGTTTAGAGAAGAACACTTACTAAATTTTACCTTAGTACTGTAGATAGTAGATAACTGGGATTCACATGAGATTTAAAAAAAAATAAAACTACTGTTTCACAAACATGGGGTTTGGAATCTTGAAATACAAAAATCTGCAGTGCTGGAATTATGGTGGAAATATTTTACCGCTCTGAAAACCACAACATGAACTACAGTGAATGTTAATGACTGTATTGAGCATATACTGAATACCCTGACCTTTCTAGATTCCTTTTTGTTAATTGGTACAAAGGATCATCTGAACAAACTTCTCTGGAAACAGGAACTGTTACAATCTAAATCAAACGTTCTGAATGCCAAAATTTCTCCGTGAATATCTTAGAACTTACAAACTTGCTAGAAAAACAATTGTATTGCTCTGTTGATAGTAAATACGAGCACAGAAAAATACTGTCTAAGTAATATTGCATAAATCATCATATGGCAATTGAAACCATCATGAAATAGATTTGTTATTAAATTAAGTATCTGTATATAATCACCCTGGATATACATGAAATAGGCAAGACTTGAATTACTGTTTAACAGTCATGTAAAGAACAGAAATCAAAAAGACAAACAAAACTGTAATATCTGATCTTCAACAAAGAAATAAGTAACATTCAGAATTTAAGAAACTGTGATAAGAAGTGAAAAACAAAGTTAGAAAATATTTTTTCTTCATCTACATGAAACATATTTGATACTGCAGGACAATTTTGGCAAAGAGATGAACAGTTTAAAATCATTAGCATAAGTGCAGTTATAAAAACTGTGAAGATATGCTAGCTAAATCTCTGAAACAAAATGAAAATAATATTTTCCATACACGGTACACTAGTATTTACAAAATAAAAGACCATCTGCCCATTTTTTTTCAGATTCACCCTTTTATAGCTTCATGTAAATAGAAAAATATTGCTTTATGCAAACAAGAATGAAAAATATTGCCTAAGTGATTAATCTAGCAATCTGCACATATTAGGTAATCAGGGAATAAAACAGTCCTCAGCCTAGAAGGCTCACTCATTAGTTTCTTCAAATAAGACATGCAATTAAAAGTAAATATTGCACAGAGGCCACATATCCCAAACGTTTTACATTACTTCCAACTGTACTTCAAGAATTACATAGGTGCATTAGGTTATTATAAGCTGATGAAGATGGTATGCAATGTGCATACTATTCACATTAATGCTAGCTGTATGCTAGCAGCTAATGAATAAGTGTAAAAAGGAGTAGTTTGTACCAGACTGGTTTGAACATCTTTGAATACACAAATGAATCCTTATTTTATCAGGTCACTGAAGCTGTTCCAAGAATTCAAGTCAGCAGAGGCTGTGTCTAGCTATGTTCAAACAAACCGAGAAATGAATAGTGGCTTCTGGCTAGATCTGACAAAGTACTGCCTCTTCTCATGTTTCCAAGGATATTACTAAACTAAGTTTTATATACATATATATATATATATACACACACTACATACATATAGTTATTTATATATATATGTACACACACACATGCACACACACACATATATATAAAAGGCAATGCATTAGTTGAAGTGGAACACAATGCTCTTTTAGTAGTATCTCCTGTTCTGGGAAAAAGTGAAGTTAGTGAGGGCTTCATTTAAGTCTTCAGTACACATGCAATTTTACATCAAAATAAAGCAGTAAGCAGTGGGTGATATAAGCAATGCCTTCCACTCTGGTCATAGTCATTACAAAAGAATTATTATCTATGCTAAGAGGATTCTGTCAAATTATTTCTTAATGGCTTCCACTTAGGATGGTGAGTAGGAACAGTAACAAGGGGTCCATTTGTTCTGTTAAATATGGAGACAGCTGACTCTGTTCATAAGATTTAATGTTTAGCAGACTATTTGATTTCAGAGCCATTTACACTAGTATACCTCACATTTCAGAACTCCATCACACACCTTTCATAGCTCTGTCTACACAGATGAATTCTGAATACAACAGAAGCTTGTATATATATAAAAAGGAAAGGACACAAGTATGAAAACAGAATAAGGCATTGCTGGGAATCAAGCTGCATCCAAGGAGAGGAGCGATAGCTACAGCAGTTAATATAGGTGTCTTTGGCAGTGGCTCCTTAGACAAAAAAGATGACTACTATATACAGCTGGGAGGAAGGTAAAGATTATAATTCAAGCTAGAGAGCTTGAATTCTCTAGCTGTAATTATGAGCTAGCTTATTGGTATGCTTTGACTTTAAGTAGCAGTTAAACTTCCGTGAGTGATATGTTTTTGCTTTCAGCAAATGATTACAGTATCATTTAATGTTAAATATGCTTAGAAAACACCTTATTCTGAAGCACAAAGAAATTATGTTTTTAATTGGTACCCAACTCCTAACCAGAACATCATTCACCTTGTTAATCTTCTTTCCATTTATTATACAGGCTTCTGAAAACATTTTTATTTTACTGATTCCAAATAACAGTGAATGGGTTTTGCATGTAAATTATACTAACATAATTCTCACAGAAACTGATTCTCTCTTAAATTTCTAATGCTAATATATAATGATATATTTTGAAACATCAAAAAAGATTATTATTTTTTTAATTTTTATTTTCTATATACTTTACTCCTCTGGGTACCCTGAATTGAAATGAGGAAATAGAAAAGTATGAAGAGTTCAAGGGCATTTGGTGTTTAGAACAAATGCTCTTTGAGGTTAGTTTTACTTTTTTCTTCAACTAACTAATTAACTAAATAAATAAAAATAACTTATTTGAATTAGTAATTCAGCAGAGTCAGAAATATACAGATGTTAAGAATTCTACATGGTTACAATTAGTTAAGAAAACATCTAATCTGAGTCATTCCAGTGAGAAACAACTAGGAAACAACTAGGAAGGGTAAACCTCTTTATAAAGAATTCCAAAAAAGCAACCATTTCAAAACAGAGCTAAGACTCTGTTTGTATTTGAAAGAGCAAATAGCCCAAACAGAAATAATGCTGAAAGATATCTTAGGTCATGTAAGGTGCTACATAAGAAGAGCACACAATCAGATGTCACACAAAGGAAGACCATTAGAATTAACAGTATAATTATTGAAACTGTCATAATTAAAGAACAGACACACATGAAAATGCTATTATATGGGAACTGCTGAGTCACAGTATGAAGCACTGACTGATCAACTGGGGAAAGGACTGGCTCAGCCCTGGGCACACAAGTGAAGGAAATTCAGCTTTGTGAACGGAAAGGGTGGAGCCTGGCTGCAGCTCTCTTAGACCCCATTTAAGGGCTGACTGCCACTGAGGAGGGATCTCTTTTCTGGAGATTTCTTCTTTGTGGAGTTTTTCCCTGAGAGCCTGGATCTTCAGAGACACGTGAGCATTCTTTCCCTGTTTGTCCCTTTTGCCATTTCATTCTTGTATTACCTTTCACCACACTAATCTTTCTGACTGTAACAGCTATGATTTTACCATGTACTGTCACAACTCTTCCATATCTAAGTATACTGTCTATGGGGAAGGAATTTGTTTATCAGTATAGAGGAAATGATGTTCTTGTGGTGCTTGTAAAGCCTGTGAAGGTTGTGGTGCTTTCAAGTATTTGCAATCCCTTCTGACTAACAGTACTGGCAAAGAAGTGATTGAGAGTACTGTGGGGGGAGACCAAGGGTGAAAATTTAATCCCAACCACCTATTAGAGTTTAATTTACTCAACACTTCATCATTTTGAGATACTGAAGGATTTTTCTTCTGTTTAGCAGTTAATTAAATAAAGTTCACTATTCAGACACTATTCTAACATCTTATAAGCATCTAACATCTTATAAGACTATATTCTCAAGGAGCTGGCTGAGGTGGTTGCCGAGCCGCTCT